GTGCCAGACAATTTAAGCCTCAACGAATGCTGAATAATTGGTTTCATATAAACTCTAGTGTCTGACCACAATAAAATTATTAGAAATCTGTAACAAAAATAAAGATTAAACATTTACATGTGAGTAAATTTTAAAATAATACATTCTAAATAAATTATGGATCAAAAACAAAATCAGTAATGGCAAAAACAAAGTCATTTTAGGCTGACAGCAAAGTGATAGGTGCTCCAGCCTTGGAATGTTACAGTGTAAATTTATTCTAATATTTGGAAAACATGCTATAACGGTTCTGCAATGATGCATTTGAATTTTTAGGATTCATAAATAGAACATTCTATTTAAGAGAGCTCTCTTGCTGTTATCTAAGACGTGAGAAGGGAGGGCAGTGTTCTCTGTGCTGTTCAAATTAAAAGAGTTCTTACATTCCTTTTTTCAAAGAGACGGAAGTGGGATGGCAGGAACTATTCCTTTAGTTATTGGGTATCTCAAATGAAAATAACTTATATTTTCAGTTTTTTACATCTGTTTCTTTCTATGCTGCCTTTCCTTTCTAAATTTTATCATTTTGTTCAAAAATCAAAAGGCTTTTAAGTTTTTTAGGGATCCTCAAACACCATTTTAGTCCAAATGCTTCATTTACAGGTTGTTTTGCCCAAGACTGAATTGGCAGCTGGGGACAAATAGGACTAGAGTCCAGGTTTCAGGACTCTCAGGACAGTGTTTTTTGGGCTGGATTATGGTCTCTGGACATAGGAGTCCTAAAGGAAGGTTTCCTAAGGTTCCAGAATTTGAACTGCTTGGAGGCAAATCCCGAATATATGTTTGGCTGACTCCCCTGCTGATGAAAAACTATTAAACACCGAGGAAGCTCTTCCTTTCTCCCCTGCCCACTTCCCCCAAACTCAATCTCGAATCCTCCAAATTCCTTTACTTACAACTCTTGCTGTGCTTACCTTTCATTTATTTAAAAAATACATTTTATCACATCTACTTATTTGCCCATCAATTATAGACTATCTCTATCTCAAAGGGGCTCTAAAGAATAGAGCCATATCTGCTTAGTTTTATAAGGATAATACAGAAAATGTCCTCACATGGAAGACAGTGTGGCATCCTCAAGGATCTAGACATAGGAATACTATTTGACCCAGCAATCCCATTACTGGGCATATACCCAAAGGATTATAAATCATTCTATTATAAAGACACATGCACACGTATATCCATTGTGGCACTGTTTACAATGGCATAGACTTGGAACCAACCCAAATGCCCATCAATGATAGACTGGATAAAGAAAATGTGGCACATATACACCATGGAATACTATGTGGCCATAAAAAAGGATGAGTTCATGCCCTTTGTAGGGACATGAATGAATCTGGAAACCATCATTCTCAGCAAACTAACCCAGGAACAGAAAACCAAACACCACATGTTCTCACTCATAAGTAGGTGTTGAACAGTGAGAATACATGGATACAGGGAGGGGAGCATCACACACGGAAGCCTGTCGGGGTGGGAGGCTAGGGGAGGGATAGCATTAGGAGAAATGCTGTAAATGACAGGGCGTTGGATGCAGCAAACCACCATGGCACATGTATACCTGTGTAACAGGCCCACAAGTTCTGCACATGTACCCCAGAACTTAAAATATAATTTAAAAAAAGAAAATGTCCTTACATTTTAAATATTTTAATTTTGAGTCAATCCCATACTTAGAGAAAAATTATAGGAGTAGTATAAAGAACTCTTTTGTCCCCTAGTCTTTGAGAATAAGTTGCTACTCCGGTGTCCCCCACTTATACTTCATACATTTGTACTTCATACATTGCATGAAATGTACAAAATGTACATTTTGTACTTCAGATATGTACTTTATTCATACAAATGTATTTCATACATTTTCTACAAATAAAAACACTCCTACATAACCACAGAACTGCCACAAAAATCAGGAAATTAACATTGATATATCTGATTCTGTTATCTTGTATATGGAAACATTCAGATTTCCCTCAATTGTCTAATAACACTGCCTTATAACAAAGCATTCAAAATAATTATGAGTTCATTTACTTGTCATGTCTCTTTAGTTTCCTTCAATGATTCGGATGCTAGAATGTCCCTCAATTTGCATTGCTCATGCCTTTGGGATTTACCAGCTCTTACCCTTTGGTTATCCATCCTTTTATGTATTAGCCTAAATGATGACACTTCAGGAGTGCCTTTCATTATCCTGGGGTGTTATTAGGGAGCTCCACCTACACCAGTTCAAGACGGCCTTTACTTCTCTTGGGTAAAAGCAAAGCCCTGATGGTAATAGGAGAAGGATCTTGCCACTTCCAGGTACCTACTAGTGATTTTTCCATGCAATCTGTTTCTGTTGTTCCTGTTGTACTGTAAGAAAGGACTCCTCTTAGGGAAGGGAAGCAGCTTGTGAAGTGAGTTTCCAGAAGCTCAGGATACAATGACTTGTCCCAAAGATTTCCCTGCACCCCCATCACACTTGGTAAATCCCACCACTAAAGGGTACATTCATACAGCTGAAGAAATCACTTCTCAAAGCAGCTGTTAGTTTCTCAGCATAAAGTTCAGGGGCTGCAAAGCTGAGCACAGTGAAAAGACTGAAGCCCCATGAGATACTCTAAGTGCTGGCTGGGATTCTGCTACAAACTTTCTGCGTGGCACTGGGTGAGTGACTTTCACTTTTCAGAGCCTCAGTTACTTCATCTGCCACACAGACTAAATGATTTCTAAGGATTCCTTCAGCTCTAAATGTTCAGATTCAGTTGTAAGTGAAAGCTCAGAAAAACATCTGCTTATAGGTAATCAATAATTATTTGTTGAAAAAATGGTAAAAATGACTCAAAAGCCAGAAGAAAATATTTTGTAAGTCATGAATTTCACTCTTTTTAAAAATAATATCTGAGTAAGAAAATTATTTTTAAGAGCTTTCAGTCATGAGTAGTTCTTGCTCAGAGAAAGAAGGGGAGAATAGAAGAAGACTTTTTAAAGAGTCTAGTAAGTACCAGGAATGTTTAGTTTTTATTTCATCTTTATGGAATTCCCTCTTATTTTTATATATTTTTTAAATTGATAAAAAATATCTATATAACAAAAGTTCTTCTTTCAAGTGTATAGCTCTATGTGTTTTGACAAACTCATTCAGTCACCTAATCCACACCTCAATTGAGACACAAACAATTCCATCACACTCCAAAATTCCCTCATATCCTTTTGTAAGTAAATCCTCCCTCTACCCCTTGGTGATGACTAACTTGTTTTTGTTCCTTCAGTTTTGCCTTTTCCAGAATGTCGTATGAATGGAATCCTTCAGAATATAGCTTTTAAGAACTGGTGCCTTTCACTAACATAGCATCTTTGAGAGTCATCTAAACTGTTGTGTGTATTATAATTTGTTGTTTTAATTGCTGATCAGTGTTTCACTGTATGGATGTGCTGCAGTTGGTTTATCCATTCACAGCTGACCATTATTTGGGTTGTTCCCAATTTTTGAAGATTGTGAATAAAGTTGCTGTATGTATTCATATGTAGGTTTTTGTGTGGACATATATTTTCATTTCACTTGGATAAATACCTAGGAGTAGAATTTCTGGATTGTATGGCAAGTGTATATTTAACTTGATAAGACACTGCTTATTGCTTCTCAGCCTTTTGGCTAAGATCAAGTGTGAAGAAACTGCTCAACTGTTTTCCAAAGTGGCTGTTCCATTTTACATTTCCACTAGCAGTGTATGACAGTTCTACTAGCTTCATATCCTGGCCAGAACTTGGTATTAAAACAAACAAACAAACAAACAAAAAAAACAAGGCTGGGTGCAGTGGCTCCCACTTGTAATCCCGGCACTTTGGGAGGCCAGGGCAGGTGGATCACGAGGTCAGGAGATCGAGACCATCCTGGCTAACATGGTGAAACCCCGTCTCTACTAAAAATAAAAAAATTAGCCAGGCATGGCAGCATGCGCCTGTAGTCTCAGCTACTTGGGAGGCTGAGGCAGGAGAACTGCTTGAACCCCGGAGGCAGAGGCTGCAGTGAGCCGAGATTGCACCACTGCACTCCAGCCTGGGCCACAGAGCAACACACACACACACACACACACACACACATACACACACACACACACACACACACACACACACACACACACACACACACACACACAAATTTATGGCAAGCACTTGATATCTATTTTATGTGTTACATACACAATCATATGAGGTATGCAATATAATTCCTGTTTTACAGTTGAGGAAACTGAGGGACAGATGTTAAGTGTGCTAATGGCACTACATGGGGGGTTAGAGGGTGGTCTAGTCACTCAGCTCTCCAGGCCAGTCACTGTTTTCCTTTATAAATGAAGATATTAACTTCTGGAACAATCTCTAAGCTGATTTTTAATATCTATGATTTCTCAACAACCTGGAGACATTGCTAATGGTTTAATGTATACACAGAAGGTCATTATCATCTAATATTCATTACCCAAGCCCCCAAATTTACAAGGATTTTTAGGGCATCAGAACTTAAAAATATTTACTGATAAATGGTTGTGTATAAAATTAGTCCACCCTCTTTGCTGAATGCTAGTTTCTATCTCTGTCCATTACACTAAGAGTTCTGTTACTGGTGAGCTGTGACAAGGCAAACACAAAGTGAAAATGCAAAGTAAACTGACTTCATTAAAATGTCATTGCAAAACTTGTAGATGCAGGGTTTCACATAGTGCGTGCTGTGATTTGAATGTGTCCCCCAATGTTCATGTGTTGGAAACTTAATCCCCATTGCAGCAGTGTTAAGAGGTGGGAACTTTAAGAAGCAATTTGGTCTTGAGGGCTCTGCCTCACGTGTGGATTAATGCTATTATTGTGGGAGTGGGTTAGTTATTGGAAGAATGGGTTCCTGATAAAAGGATGATTTTGCCCCGTCTCCCTCTCTCTTGCTCTTCTGCCTTCTGCCATGGGATGATGCAGCAAGATGGCCCTTACCAGATGATGGCAACTTAATATTTGAATTCCCAGCCTCCAGAACTGTGAGAAACAAATATCTTTTCTTTATAAATTACTCAGACTGCAGGGTTCTGTTATAGCAACACAAAATGGACTAAGTAATGAAAATCATATTGGAAACTTGTGCTGTCATTGATAAGAAAGGGCCTGAGCATTAGGTCAAGTAACTACTAAAAAACTGAAAAATCAGTAACAGTGGCAACAGACTCTTCAAATAGGGTGATTTAAATTTTAGGAAATTGGAAGAAGACTTTGAGAAAATCAACAAAGTCCTCTAATATATTCCCCAAAATGATCTTCTCTGATTTTACTATGCTTGCTCCTCCATATCTCCCTGATCCCTAGACTTCTTCTGTCCTCTATCCACATTCTTTCCTAAGGTGGGTCATCTAGTTTCATGGCTTTAAATCCTCCGTTAAATTATCACACTTATCACTTCCCTCCTAAACTCCAGACTCATGTATTCAGCTAACTACTTGACACTTCTTTGTGGCTGTCTAGTAGGTAATAATCTTATAATTATTATGTCCAGTCAAATTCCTATTCTTCCCTCTAATTCTTCCCTCTAAAATATCTTAACACTACTCAGTCTTCCCCATTTCTGTTCATGTCAGTTCCTATTCAGGTCAAAACCCTCTGAGTTATTTTTGATGCCTCTCTTTCTCTCACATTCTAGTAGTCTAGTGTCTTTCATAATCAGATCAATTAGTAAGACCTATCAGCTCCATTTTTAAAATGTAAGCAGGATCCCAACACTTCCCACCATTTTCACTACTACTCTGTCACCCACCTGATTGTTTCAGTCACCTCTCAATAAGTTTCCTGCTTCTACCCTCACTACCCTACACTCTGTGGGCTCAGCAGCCATCATGCCATCTTCTCAGAGAGAGATATTCTGACCACCCTCTTTAAACTGTAGTCTTTACCAATATTCTGTACTACTTATTCACCATCTCTGCTTTTGTATTTTCTTCTTAGTACTTGCTACTTTCCAGCATGATCTGCTTTTCCCTAATATTTTATGATTTATCAGTCACCTATTACAATATAAGGTCCATAAGAACAGGAAATATTTTCTTTTTCTTTTTTAAATTGATTCAACTGCCTAGAACAGCGCTTGGTGCATAGTAAGTACTCAATAAATATTTGTTGGATGAATGAGTACATATCTTGTAAGTCAAATAGGAAGGAATATGGTGATATCATACAATTTTATTAAAATATATATGCATCCCATAGTATTCTAAGAATTAGCCCATAGTAAAATTATAACCTAATTTTATAAGCCCTGAGATCACTTTTATGGTTTATAGCTGCTGTTTTTCAAGATAAAACTTCAAATAAGTATGGTTTTCAGTATTTCTGATGATATTTTCATCCTCATTTCAAATGAATTGGCTTTATGGGGCCTGCACAATCATCTCTGGATAAAAATGACCTCTTATATTTCTGGGTGATTAGAAAAAAGCCTTATTTTCTAAAAAGGAATTCTATGTAGAAGGGACAGTGTTTCTGCTTGTCTTCTTTCACACTTTGCATACCCAGGCCATCTGGAATGAAACTGAAGTCTGCCCAGAGCAGCTGGAAGCCCCAGCCGCCCTGCTGCCCATGGAGGCCTCTGAGAAGGCTGACTCCAGAGGCCCTCAGCTCCTTGGAGGAGGTAAACGCCAACACAGTGTTGTTCAGCAGATGCCACCGTCTGCCATGTAAGTTAAATAAGGCAGACAGCAGCAGCTGAGGAGATTTTAGCCTCCTGTTCTAAACAATATTTTATCTTAACAGCAGAAAATGTTTAATGTGTTCCCCCCTCCTCCTAGAAAAACAAGCAATTTGTCTTCAGGAAGAGAGAGAAAAAACACTTTCCACCAGTTCTGATGGGTCATCAAGTTTAAAAGCTCTCTTACCCCTAACCCTTTAGAGAAAATAACAGAAAGTATTTTTCCCTTTCTCTGGAGCTTATTTGCTTTGCAAATTGTTTGCCTAGAAGTGCTACAATAATGGCTATATATATATTTTTGTTTCTAGATTCATTAATGATGTGAGAAGTGTAAAACTCAAAGCAGAAGCCTTTTGTTTGTTTTCAGGATTGCTTCCCCACTAGGCTTGGAGACCCCTGAAGGCAGAGGACCTGTTTGAGCTATCTTTGGACTCTTCACAGTCCTGGCACAAAGTAGCACCTAAGTCATTCATTCAGCAAACATTTTTAAACAATATTCCTGTCATGACACATTCAACAAATTCTTTTAATTTATTTATATTATTTTTAGAGACAGGGGCTTGCTCTGTCACCCTGGCTGGAGTGCAGTGGCGCGATCATAGCTCTCTGCAACCTCGTACTCCCAGGCTTAAGTGATCCTCCCACCTCAGCCTGAAGAATAGCTGGGACTATAGGAATGCACCATCATAACCCCGCTAATTCTTAAAAAAATATTTTTGTAGAGATGGTGTCTTGCTATGTTTCCTAGGCTGGTCTCAAACTCCTAGCCTCAAGCATTCCTCTCATGTTGGTCCCCCAAAGCACTAGGATTATAGGTATGGGGCACCATTACTGGCTATAAGCAAATTTTTAATGAGCACTTAGTATGTGCCACATGCTGCAGATGTAGCCACAAGCCTCTGACCTCACAGAACTCATGCTAAACAAGTAAACAAGGTAATTTAAGATTTTTTTTCAGTGCTACAAAATAAAAACAGGGAAATAGGAGAGAGAGTAGAGAACAGGACTGTTGAGAAGAAAGTCTGGAATCCCCAACAAGGTGGGTGGCAGAAAAGATATTTCTAAGGGATTTGGCACAGAACCCCACTGTTTGTTTTACCACCAGGCCCTGGAATTTGAACCACCATCTTCTGGACTGACTCAAATGCAGAGGAAGCCAGGCCTGCCACTAACGTTTCTAAGAGCAGCAAGAGTATAAATGGAGATCCACGTATGTATAAATAATTAGAGTGTGAATCAAGCTAACAAACTGTTTAATAAAATACGATCTACTCTCTAGCTTGACAAATCAACTTTTAAAACACCTGGAAGAACAAGTTTGCACTCAGGATTCTCAGACTCCTCCAAGTTCTGCACTGGGATGTGGAAGAGCTGTGCAAGCCAGCCCTTGGGTCCCTGATCCCGCCTCCTGGCCTGTGCCTGTCTATTCTCAGCCTGGCTCCAGCTCCCATTGAGAGGAAGTTCATGTACACACATGATACTATAGGCCTCTGTCTAATATTTATCTATACCTTCTGCAAACAGCCACTGTGTGACCACCCTTGGGCTTAGGGGTCCGCAAACCGACAACAGAGAATGGGAACCAAGGCAGAAGCTCACAGACTCTAGAAATGGGCATAGGTCCATGTGGGCAGAGACCTGTGAAATCCTCGGTAAGCAAGGTGTCTTAGTTTGCTTGTGCTGCTTAAACAAAACACTACAGACTAGGTAATTTATAAATATTAGAAATATATTTCTCAGAATTCTGAAGGTTGGGAAGTCCAAGGTCAAGGTATTGGCAAGGTTGGTGGGAGCTGCTTTCTCTGCTTCCAAGATGGTACTTTTTTGCTGTGTCCTCTTGAGGGGAAGAAAGCAGAAGGGCAAAGGGGCCAATTATCTCTCTGAGGCCTCTTTTGTAAAGTTGTTAATCCATTCCTGAGGGCTCTGCCCTCATGACTTAATCACTTTCCCAAAGTCACATCTCTTAATACTACCACAATGAGGATGAAGTTTCAACATGAATTTTCAAGGGGTCACATTCAAGCCATAACACAGGGCATGGCCTAGTAGAGGAAATGCAAGCTCTGGGTATGCAAGTCCCCTTTGCCCCATAAACTTCTTGCTTCATGGGAAGGGATGTGGCTGGAGGGTACCCCTCTACAGCACAGGTCCCAGAGCACCCCTCTTGCCTTGAGTTTAGGGATAGTATAGGTGGTGGTAGTGAGGCTACTTTTGCTCATTAAGAAAAGCCTCTATGATGGGGTGGGGCTGAGAATGACATTTGAATGGAAAGTTGAATGATAAAGAGTTATCCATGCCAAGACCTGGGAGAAGGGCATTCCTAACTGAGAGAAGAGGAAATGCCCAGATGTCATAAGCTCTGTAGGGAAGAAACACCAACAGGAGTGGGTGGAGCCTGATTAAGAGAAGAATGGTAAGAGATGAGGTGAGATGGTCAGGCAGGAGCAGGGACCCTGAAGGTCAGGTAAGGGGGTTTTGACTTTACCATGTGTGCAATGGGAAGCTTCTGAAGAATTGATATGAGTTCTGTTACAGCACAATCACTCTGGGTGCTGTGTGAAATGGATGAATAGCAAGGAGCTGCTGGCAAGGGCAAATCAACAGAAGCACCACTCAAAATGCCTCACTACCCACTACATAAGGATTCTTGCGATTAATTCTTCCCCAAATTTTAGAGCCAAGGAAAATCCAGCTCTCCTACTAAGAGTTGTAGATTAGAGCTTCTGTTTCTAATCCATAAACAAATTCTAAACATGTCTTTTCATGACAATTCCAACTTTGTCATAAAGTCATCTACTGAGAAACCAGTAGGCAGGTTTCTCCTCTTGTCTAGACCACCTGAAAGCACATAGCTGAGTTTGCACTTCTTTGCAGAGGAAACTGCTCATTTATCAATCTGGCATCCAATCACAACTTTATAGCTAACTACCTATATGTTTTCATAAACTTCTCTCACACAGTATAAATTTTAAATAAATCACAATAGCTATTACACATATAAGTAGTAGTAACTCAAGAGACTGGTATCTGACTAGCGGTTATTTCACCAGTGTATACACTGGAAGTTTTGTTTTTTGATGTATGTACATTATAACTGCAGGGCAGGTCGTAAGAAGATTTTAAATTCACATTAGCTTTCCTACCACTAAACTATGGGGACTGAGTGTTTCTAATTTACAAACAAAGATATGCAATGTCTTTTTATGATCATCCTGACTTTATAATAGGATTGCTATAAAATATTTTAAGACATACGAAAAGGCATAAAGTGTAATACAATGAGTACCCATATATCTAACTCCCAGTTTAAGAAATAAAACATTAGCAAATACAGCTGAAGTTCCATGAATTCCCCTCCCAAATCATAATCCCTTCCCACCTGCAGAGGGAACCTCTATTCTAAGCCTGGTGTGTATCACCACCAAGAATTTAAAAAATACTTTTACTATACATACACAAGTATGTATCCCTTAGAAATGAGCAGTAGTACTGTTTTGTAGTATAAGTAGTAGTACTTATACCATTTACACTTTAAGTAAATGGTGTAAGTTTTTTCTTGGTTTTGCTAAAAACTGTTGATGTTTATGTCCTTTGATTCTATAGCTGATTGACTTTCACTGTGAGTCATTCCATCATTATTTCTGTATTCATTCTCCTGCTGAAGTATATTTCAGGTTGTTTCTATTCCTCTCCTGATCCCCCTCCCCCAACACACATGCTTTTATTAATAAATCTGCTGGAACTTTCTTGCATACATCTCCTTGGATGTGTTATATCATAAAATATACAGAGAGAAAATTGAGCTTTTTCAGACACAGGTTCTACATTAAATCATTTTCAGATTGACTTACCATTGCTCATATTCAATCCTTTAGAATGGGTTCAAGATGGATATTTTATAGTAATGAAGCATAATCCAGAGACGGACAGAGTGATTTTTAAGATCAGAACTATAAAATTTTTAAAAAATCCCTGTAAGGTAACAAGGAGCTCACCTAATTGAACGCCTTCATTTTATGGACAAGAAAACCAATGCTCAGAGGGAGAAGAGTTGCCTAGTAGTGAGCACTGGACTACCGGGAGCAGCAGATCCTTCATTGAGCCTCCACTGTGATGGACATGTGTACAAATCATACAAATAAACCCCTTGCTTTCCCTTCTATTCTCTAAGCCTCACTAAACAATGTGTCATGAAACATGGCCCACTTGATGAAGTCATTCCTGAATGAATTACAATTGTGCTTCCTTGATCAATTCAAGCCACATTTTTTTTTTTCATTTCTGAAGAGTCAGTTTCACCTCAGCTTTACTGAAGTAGAAGCAAAAATCAGAAGATAAAACAATTTCTTTATCAAGCATAACTGGAATAACTAGATTTACAAAGGAAAAGTCTTTAAAAATCACAAAGAAAAAAATATAAAGTTGGAAGAATTTCTCAAAGCAAGGATGAGTTCCCATGACTGGGAAACTATTCAGTTTCTTTAAGACTAAATTTTAAAATCTGCATTTTATTTGGTGAGATTCAACAAGGACTTTTTCCTTGACCAAACTTTAAGCATGTTCCTCTTAGGCCTCTTGTTGACTAGGCCTGGTCCTGGCCTGCCGAGCCCCGCTCAGCAAGAATCCCCTCACCCTTGATACCCAACCAAATCCTCTTAGTAATTTCCGATCCGTGACCCCTTCACCATGTCCATTGGCTATAAATCCCCAGCTGTCCCTACTATATCCGGAGTCACGATTAATCTCTCCCCTGCTGCAGTAGTCTTGAATAATGCCTTCCTTGCCTGTTTAATTATGCTTCATGCTTTTTTTCTTCAACAGATTCACCTCCCAATACCAAACTGTCACTGAGTCCCATATCCCAAAATGCCTGTAATTAGGATGACCATGTGTATCTGTTTACTGAGACAGTCCCAATGCATGCCTGACACAGGAGCACAATTACCCATGGCTGCCCAGTCTACTCTCAGAAGTGCCTTGGTTTGCACAATAAATTGTCTTCACACATATGAGGTGTGATATTTACTGGCTTGAGACACTAAGAAGAGGACTTGAAAAATGGTGCTACAGCAATATACACAGAACAAAAGAGCAAATTCATGAAACTAAAACACTCCCTTTTTCATAGTGCCTCCAGAGGCATAGTTACCTTTGATTCATATCACATTCTATCCAAATTAAGTCTTTCACCATAAATAAAAATGGATGATTTTCACGAATTTCTCATTCAAACATATTCATACAATGCCTTTATTATGCCTCTTTTTTGAGAACTGCAGATGGGTTGATTATAGAACACTGACCAGAAATGTGGCATGCATTCCAGAAAGAGAAGTGGGGGAATGTGACAGAGAAGAGATAGAAAGAGACCAGGAAGGCCAATGTGGTATAGGCTTCAGGAAACACAGCTGAGATTGGGAATCGATACCTCATTCTCCAGGAATTGCATTAAAGGCATTAAAGGGCTGAAATGAATTTGCAGAACAATAACTGAGGCTGACACCTGCTCTTGACAGAGGGGATGAATCAAGACTGAGTTGTGCTTTAGCACCTGCTGTGGGGAGAAAGAACAAGAGGGGAACTACTAAAGCTTCTCGCCTAGAAATGCTGAGTTTAATTGCTTTCTGATGCCAAAAGAGAAAATTCCTCATTAAGGTGGGGTTTGCTAAGTGATTTTGAGCAGTGGTTTGTTTGTTTGCTCTCACTATTTTCAGGTATTTGAAAACATTTTCAACAGGCCCTTATTCTGCAGAGCTTTCTTAGGTCTGATGGAATGATGAGACTAACAACTGCACACTCAGTGAATGGGATCTCAGGCATGGGCTTTCAGACATAACATGTGATGCAGGGAGGAGGGGAACAAGTGAGATCAGATCATCTCCAAAGTTTCCTCTAACTGAAAAGTCTAAGATTCTGCCATTCAGTGGACTCTCTACATGGGTTTGCTAATCCCATTTTGCAGACGGAGAGTCAAACAAGGAGAGGTCAAGGACACTGAGCTGGACCAGAGGCCTCTTCATCAATGCTCAATATGTGACCCACAGGGTCAGACTCACAATTTAGAAAAGAGGAGCCAAGGCCGTCACAAGGATGCTCTACTGAAACCTCATCACATGGAAGTATGATGCCACCAGCAGCATTGCATCACATGTGAGCTAGTGAGACATGCAGAATCTCACTCTGCCCCAGACCTCCTAAATCACAATCTGCATTTAACCAGACCCCAAGAGTTCAAGAAACACAGACTCAGATTTGCATTTCTCTGCTGATTAGTGATGTTGAGCAGTGATTACCCTAAAAGTAGCAAGACTCTAGAAAGTAGTTACAACTATAAACTAGCTTTTTAAAAAATATAATTTCAAGTTTTATGTTAGATTCGGGGGATACATGTACAGGTTTGTTACAAGGGGATTTTGTATATTGTGTGATGCTGAGGTTTGGGATATGAATGACCCCATCAACCAGATGTTTACTCTGTTGATAGTTTCTTTTGTTGTGCAGAAGCTTTTTCATTTAATTAGGTTCCACTTGTCAATTTTTGCTTATACGGCAATTGCCTTTGAGAACTTATTCATATATAATTTCCCAAGGCTGATATCCAGAATGGTGTTTCCTAGGTTTTCTTCTAGAATTCTTATAGTTTGAGGTCTTACATTTAAATGTTTAATCCATCTTTAGTTAATTTTTATATATGGTAAAAGGTAGGGATCCTGTTTTATCTTCTGTATATGGCTAGCCAACTATTCTAGCACCTTTATTGAATAGGGAGTCCTTTCCCCGTTGCTTATTTTTTGAAGACTGTGTCAAAGATTAGATGTCTGTAGGTGTGAGGCATATTTCTGGGTACTCTATTCTGTTCCATTGGTCTATGTGTCTGTTTTTGTACCAGTGTCATGCTGTTTTGGTTATTGTAGCCTGATAGTACAGTTTGAAGCTGGGTAATGTGATACCTCTGGCTTAGTTCTTTTTGCTTAGGATTGCTTTGGCTATTTGGGCTCTTTTTTAGTTCCATGTGAATTTTATAATAGTTTTTTCTAATTCTTTGAAAAAATTATGTTGGTCATTTGATAGGAATAGCATTGAATTGTAGATTGCTTTAGGTAGTATTGCCATTTTAACAATATTGATTCTCCCAATTCATGAGTATGGAATGTTTTTCTATTTGTTTGTATCATCTATAATTTCTTAGCAGTGTCTAGTAGTTCTCCTTATAGAGATCTTTCACCTCCTTGGTTAGATATATTCCCAGGTATTTTATTTTTTGTGTGGCTATTGTAAATGGGATTGCCTTATGAACTAGCATGGACAGAGATTTCTGACATTCTTGTAGGATCAGGCCAGCTTTCTAAGCTGGGAGACATTGTTTTCCATACAGCATCCTCTACCAAAGTACTAAGCTTTCTTTTCTACAATATGAATTTAAACCTGGTAAATGTACTATGAAAGAAGCCACCACCCATTTCAGACTACAGCTCTCTTCCCTTTTCTCTCTTTCCCTCCTCTCCCCCATCTCTGGAGGACAGATTTGCATTAATAGTAGTTTTGACTTTTAAGACACTGTTAGTATTAATCAGGCTACTGTTTGATGTCTTAAGAGGAGAACACCAGCCTGGCGTGCAACAGAGATGATGAATCACAGTTTGGTGGTTTGCTGGATCTGCTTGTCCACATTTGCTCCTGACTTCTAATTCTGCATTGGCTAGATTTCTCTTTGCTTAACTAAGCAGGAAACCATTTTCTCTTTAATTTGAGTACTACTATATTGTAATTGTATTTTACTGATGATCTGACTAGAAGGGGACAACCAAGCATAAAGCTATGTTAATCTTTTATTTTCTTTGTGCCTGTGGAAGATATTGCAGAAATTATTTGGTGTAAAACAGTTTTTGATAAGGGCTAACATATGGGCAATCCTGGAGAAGAAACAAAAAGAAATCACAGGCTTTATATTGAGCCATATAGAATTGCCATTTTTACAGGTTAAAAACAACTAAATTATGGGCAATTTCATATATTTCAGACTAATTCAAATATTTTAAATTAGAATTTCTTGACTTAAGAAATATTGAGAAAATAGGGCTATTTGTGGTGGCTGGGTTTATTTTACTTGGAGACTTGTTTTATGAAATTAAAAAAAAAATGTTTTCAGAGGCTAGATAACCATCTTTGTATTCTAAGCTACCGTAAAGAATAGCATGTTAGAAAGTAAAGTTCAGTTATAGATTCAGGATGAACGTATGTGTCCTTGAAGAAGATTTATTTTTTGCAGGTGTGAAAGAAATATATAAATGGTGCTAGACTTTGAAACCTACTTTACTACTCATCAAAACTAGGGAAAGTTTCTTGTCTACTTTTTGTCACAGTCAGGTAAACTCTGATAGGAGTAAGAAGAGAAGATATTTCCCCTACAGACCCACCACCAAGTTAACTCTAGTTGGAATGTGGGGGAGTATTTGAATATTTCAAAGCAAAGTAGTCCCTTTGTGGTTAATTATCACAGTTATTCTGTAAGTATGCTGAGTTTCCATGGCACTCTGGGCATAATTCTAAGACAGCCTGAATCACAGTGTCATTGTGTGTTTCAATGTCTGTTTCTCCCATACTAGCCCAGTATCACACTTTGAGTAGTAAGGTAGGAATCATGCTTATTTGTAATGATGTACCTAGCGCCTTTAAGGGAGCTTAGCACACAGTAGGCATTAGTAACTATTTCTTTCTAATGTAAAAGTTTGTTGAATAAATGATGACTTAATAACAAGTCACATTAGCAAAAATTGAAGTACTATATTAAAAATCTTTGTG